TCCTGTGTGGCGTGCTGCTTTGGAATACGGTACATTATGGAATGGCTGACATGATGTACATGTCAGCATCATGGAATGGCCGGATTGAGCTGGCTGACGTGCGCGTGACCTCACACACTCTGCAGTGTTCTGGCTAGGTCGTCACTCCTAGTCCTGCCGCTTGCTGTGCCACGCGCTTTGTTTCGCTGCTAACAGGCACACTGCTGTCCTGGGTCCTGGCGTGTACTTCACTGCTTTTCTTAGTCACAAAGGAATATGCTGTCTGAGCATTCCCTGAGAAAATTATCAGTAGCAAAAAACTAAATATCTTTGTGGTTGAAATCCAAGCTGTTTTAGTAATAAAATCAGCATGTGTTCCGTGTAGGAAGTTTAGACAATATGAATGTTATGGTTTGTGTCTAGGAGTCCCCCAAAGCCTCATGCGGTCACGGGGTGGCTTCTAGAGTTTGTGATTGATCCATGGTCCAGTGCTGGGACTGCGGGTGTAGGTGCTGCAGCCACCCTGGGGTGGCAGCCTGCATACCACAGAAGGGAGGGATAGCCACCAACTGCACTAAATAAACCTTTCTTTTCCTCCCTTAGTTTTGAGTGTCTGGTATTTTGTCCCAGCAATGAGAGAAAAGTAACCAAGGCGATAGACAAATCGTAAAAACAAAATTAAATTTTGCTTCCAAAGGCATCTGTATGTAGTCTAATCTAATTCAGGTTGAATCATAGAAATTGTGGATTTTAGAGGCCCAAAATTATCTTATTATTATTATTATTTATTTAGGCAGAACTGGGGATTGAACTCAGGCTCTTGCGCTTGCTAGGCAAGTGCTTATTCTACTGTGCCATCTCCCTGGCCCTCAAGGCCCAAAATTATTGAATATCGACAATTTAATATAGACAAAGACACAGAAAACACAGTCGTAACTTCCAAATTGATTTTTTAAAATTTAATTTATTTTTATTTTTTTGCAGTATCAGGGAGTGAACTCAGGACCTTGCTAAAAGTTGACCTCAGCAGTCCTTTTTTTGTTTTTTTTTTTTTATGGTACTGGGGATTGAACTCAGGACCCTGCACTTGCCAGGCAGATGCTTATTTTACTGAGCTATCTCCCCAGCCCCAAAATTGAATTTTAGATAAAGATAAGACTGTCTTTCTTCTAAGATAAGGGATAATTTTGGTAGGCTTGCTATTTTATCAGTACCTTGCTCAGGTAGGAATATGCTATGACCCACTGAATTATCAAGTTGCTTTTTTTTTTTTTTTTTTTTTCCAGAAGTATCTGCAATCTGAACTTACATTACATTAGAAGGTTAAATAATTCTGGAACAAAGGGCAGAGAGTACCTCAGAACTAGAAACCTAAGATATTGGGCCTTTAGAGGTTAGCAGCTTCCCCAGGCACTGGCGCTTCCTGAGTTCTGCGCTGCAATTGTCAACTCAGAGCTTGCTCCTTCATGAGTCAGTGTTGAGTTTAACCGTGGAACTGTCCATTGTCCATCAGCAGAAGTCAGCTTTATGTGAGGGGGAATAAGCAACTCTCCATTTCTCACAGGGCACCTTGGGCAGCACCTGTAAGCACCGTGTTTCCCCATGGTCAGATGAACATGGAAGTGCCTGACCCAGCTAGTCACATACAGAATTTATAAATGGAAGGAGATAATCATTGTTGTTTTTACATAGGCATTTCTGATTTAGCTGAGCAAATTCGTTTTTTAAATTCGTATGGTTGTGGAGTGGAGAGGAAAGGTGGAATGCCCGGGTTGCCTTAGGAGCACAGCTTAGGTTCATATGCAGTTCATGCCTGGGATCAAAGCTGGGTCTTAGAAACTTGTGGGATGACGGAACATCCCTACTTCCTTTGAAGCATCATAGTGCCATAGGGTACAAATGGGGAGACTGGTTCAATCCTGCTTTGTCACTGATCTGATCTGATCTGATCTGTGGCCACTGGCAAATTTTCCTTGACTGTCAGTTGCCTTTATGTCACTCTGGTAGTTTATAAAGCCTTTTAGACCAATCTCAAAATGCTATTGTGAGAATCAGTTGAAATTTATTGAATGTGAGTGCTCTAAACAGCCTTGTTAGATACCATGTACTTATAGTTTATCATTATAAATTTTATTTATACTTACAGAGAACATAAACTACTTATATTATATAAATTTTATTTATATCTTTATTTTATTTGTACATTTGTTACAACTGCATTTGTAGTTTTTTTTTTGTTGTTGTTTGTTTGTTTTTCTTTTTTTGAGACAGGGCCTTCCTGTGCAGCTCAGGCTGGCTTTGAGCTCACTTTGTAGCCCAAGCTGGTCTCAAACTCACAACAATCCTCCTGCTTCAGCCTCCTAAGTGCTGGAATTGCAGGTGTGCTCCACCACACCCAGCGCATGTATGGTTATTATAATTGATTACTGGAAAACACAATTTTCTGCCCTTATAATACCTGAAAGAATGAATTCTGGTGTCCCTGATTTTCAGATCCAGAAAATGTTGCTAGGATCTATCTATGTTACAGCTTGTGTCTAGATGAACCACCCCCAAGTCTCCTGTGGCCTTAGGTGGGGCTTTTTCAGAGGTAGCTGAATCTAGAGTGTATGACACTGGAATTGATTCGTGGTGCAGGGCACTAGGATTAAGGCTGTGAGTTCTGTCTGCCCTGAGTAGCCTGGACAGACTGTTAAGGGATAGCGAGAGCTGTGGCTCTTCCCTGCTTGCTTGCCACCTTCTGCCCACTGTGAACTGTTTTTCCTCTGCCATGCCACCCACCTTGGAGCCAGCCGATGATGGACTAAAACTAAGCTAAATAGACATTTCCTTCTTTAACTTTGACTGTTGGGTATTTTTCTCAGCAGAGAGAGAAAAGTAACTATCACAGTCTGTGTTTGATGAGATGAGGGCATAGGTCCTGAGAAAACTGGTGGTCATTTCTTTGGAGACGAGGATGAGGGTGTCTGGAAACCATGAGGTTTCTGAAGTACAGTGTGTCACTGGACCAGCAGCTCTGGTGCGGCATGTTTGTTTATAGATATGCTTGGGTGGATGCAGTGTGGTGTATGTGACAGTTATTTTAGCATAGATTATAATAGCAAATATTAGCAACAGCCTGTAATTTATCAGTAAGGGGTTGGTTCTTCGGTTATGGTTCTTCTAAGTGGTGAAATAATCTGTAGCTAGCAGAATGACGGGGAAACATCTTTTAAGGTAATATTTTCAAGTAGAAAGACAAGGTCTAATACAGAGTTAGACTGTGCTACATTTTGTATCAAAAATGAGGAGAAGTAGTATATCTTTATTGTTTTTGGGTATAGATAAAAAAACTCTGAAAGAATATGCTGAAAACTGGGTGTGTTTAACCTGGGGGCAGGTTAAGGTTCTTGAGGTAAATGAAAGAAAGGGAGTGAAGTTACATGTGTATGTTTATTTTTTAATAAATTATGGACCATGTAAATAGATTATTCAGAAAATTAAAAGGTTTTTTAAAAAGTAAACTAAATGTTTGCCTTGTGAAGGAAGTGAACTTGTGAGACACAGTGAACAATCTGTTGACCAGCAAGTGGGTCAGGTCCATGAAAATGCACTGGGGTAATAGAACCTTTGTTTCTTTTAGGCTTGTGGTCCAGGTTTAAAAAGAAGTTTTTTAAGCTCTTGCGGAAGATGCCCTTTGTTGGTAACAAGGTGAGTGGTTGCTATTGAGGTCTTACTTCCCCTTTTTATAATCCTCTTTCTTCCTATTTGCTAAACACTATTAGAAAAGGACAGGGATCTTGTCTCCACTGCCAGGGTCCATTTGGCAGTGTTTGTGGATGGTCCGGGTTGCTGTGACTCCGGGCCAGTACTGCTTGGCATCCAGTGGGTGAGGCCAGGTGTCTGAAGCATCACACCGTGCACAGACAGCCTTCTAGCAGACATTGGACTGCTTAATATGTTAGAAGGGCCACAGTTGGAGAAACATGGACTGAGCCACTTCTCCACCATGTGAGGAGAGATTTGTTGAAGTAATTTGAAATTAGAAAACTTCACTAAAGTGTTACAATCTTTAGAACAGTATTTGGCTGTGCTTAATTTAACTTTTTCTAGAGGTTAAATTGGATTAGCCAACACTCTGTAGAAGGGTAGACAGGAAGCATTTTAGGCTGTGCAGGTAGTGCTGTGTCTGTTGTAGCCAGTAGAGGATGGGGTGTAAGGGATGAGGCTGACTGTATCCCAAGAAAACCTTGTTCCCAAAGAACACAGATTGGTTTGGCCCTCCCTAGATTTCTGTTTAGAGATAACAAAGCAGTTCTCTTGTTCTTTGTACCTGCTTGCTGTCTTCACTATTTCCTCTCTGCTCCCACCCACACTAGATAAGATAGCCTGTGACCTTTCATGGTCTTCATTGCAGGCAGGCGAAGGTAAGCAGCAGGTCCCGCGCAGGCTCTGTGGAGGCCAGATGAGGCCTTGATGCTCTCATCTCTCCCAGCACCCACCTTGCCCCTTGGCTTCTCTTGGTTCTTTTCCAGCTTAACCTGCCTTCAAGTTTTCTTTTACTTTTGACCTTAAGTGTGTGGGGGTGGGGGAAGAGTGTGGCAGACAGATTATCACAAAGGACAGTAGGGTTTCCCTGCAAATTACTTGCCTGTTTTCTGTTCTTATCCCTCTCACTTTGTCCTTCCATTTCAACATTTTGAGACAAATAAATGCTAAGAGTTCCAGAACCCATTTGTAAACATAATGGATTTGAAAGGTCCTTAGAGATAGTTCTTTATTTTTCAAAAGGGAATTCTTTTGCTGGCCCTGCCCACGGGGTGCCCTCAGACAGCAATTAAGACTGGACGTGGTGGTGCATGCCTGTAATCTCACCTCTTGGGAGGCTGTAAACAGGCAGATCACTATGAGTCTGATCTAGTAGTGAGACCCTGAACACCCTGTAGACCCTTCCCTAAAATTAAAAAAAAAAAGAAAGAAAGAAAAAAGAAATAATAAAACAAAAGGGGATTCTGAGGCTTAGAGAAAAAACTTACCTCAGTTCTTCACTTGTTACCTCACTTATTGAACACTCACTCGGTGTCAGGCACTTTTCTGGTTGCTGAGGATATAGTGGCAAACAGCTCCCAGTCCTGCCATTGTGGAAGTTAAGCAGTATTTTATTAGGAAAGACAAAAACTGAACAAATATATAAGATTTCATTTTGAAATAAATGCTTTAAAAAATTTAAATTGAGTAATGTGATAGAGGTTGTGAGGCAAGAATGGGTGCAAAGGTACTTGCCAAGCTAGTGTTCCTCTCTTTATGCGTTTTTGGGTGTGTTTCCTGTTTTTCCAAGAGCATAATCTTATGTACGGAAGTTTACATAAATGGCTCCAGCTTGTATGGTTGCCATGGGTGCAGTATAATTTTTTGTTCACAGCTTTACAAATATCGCCACTTCACAGCATGCCTCCAAGCTGCCAGACAGCGTGTACTGTGCTGCCTGCCGGTGCTGGCATGGCAGGCTCTGGCAGATGTGCCTCAGAGGGGTGGCTTTCCTTGTGGTTTCTCTGTGGTTAGGGGCACATGTAAAACCCTCTTGTATTTCAGACATCTGGGACTAGGGCTGAGAAAACAGAAATAATTCAAAATGAGATCTTGGGCATCACATTTTTCTTTCTTTGTTCCTTTTTTTTTGTATTTAGTGCAGGGTCTACAGGGTCTCACTACACAGATCGCACTTGTAATGATTCTCCTGTTTTCAGCTTCCCAAGCACTGGGATTACAGACATGAACCACCATGCCCAGTCTCAATCACTGTCTCAGTGTGCCATGGGGGCAGGGCTGGCATGGCACATCCATCCATCCATCTTTCTTTCTCTTTCTTTTCCTCCCTCTCTCCCTCCCTCCCTCCCTTCCTCCCTTCCTTTTGTGTGTGTGTAGTGTAGGGTCTATAGGGTCTCACTTTGTAGATTGGACTTGTAGTGATTTTCCTGTTTTCAACCTCCCAAGCACTGGGATTACAGGCATATGCCACCATGCCCAGTCTCAGTCACCCGACTCAGCTGCCCTGGGGGTGGGGCTGTCACTGCATGCCGGGGATGAACCCTGGCCTCTGCGGTCTGCCTAAGCAGGTGCTTTAGTCCACTGAGCTATCTGGCTGGCTATTGGGCATCACATTTTAACAAATGCATTGCAGGAGCCAGAGCTTTTGTCACATAGCCTTTCTCCGCAGTTTGCCACCCAAGAGTCTCGTAAGTAGTAACCTTGCTGTCCCAAGTTACATGGGCTGGGAGATAGCTCAGAGGTCTAACCCTTGTGCCTGTCATGCACAAAGACCCAAGTTCGATCCCTGGTCCCATGTGCCATGCTGCCCCTGAACCCGGGGCATGCTGTGCCAGCTCTGAAACCAGGCGTGGTATCACACGCCTGTAATCCCAGCACTGGGAAGGCTGAGACAGGAGAATCGCTGTGAGGCTGATACCGTGTAGAGACCCTGTATCAACAACTACAACAACAAAAAATTATTTTAAAAAGATAATTATAGGTTTCATGAAATGAGGTTTTTCTACTGCATGCCCACTGCCTTGGTTTGTTTTATTCATTGTGTACCCCTGGCCAGCAGCGTTGTTCAGTCAGTGTTTGCTAACCCAGTAAGTGATTGAATGGAAGTGAATGGCTCCGAAGCTGTGGCATGAGAATGAGAGAAATAAGCATAGCTGATTAGTTCCTCATGGCACTTCAGAGTCAGGCAGTCCAAGCTGGACAGCAGCTTAAGGAGAGTGAATGCCGTGGTCTGGCAGCTCTTCATGTTGCATGATTCTGCACAGGAACTTGTCTGGGACCTCCGGCTTCTAGGGAAGCACTGTGCGCATCCCTTAGAGTGCCTTATCACATGCATAATGACCGAGGTCTGCTTCGCTGTGTCGTGGCTGCTGTCAGGGCTCTGCCTTTGTGGCTTTCGGGTAAACACTGTAGCTGCTGCCAGCGCTGGAGTGAGGTGGATGCTGCCCTCAGATTAGGGCGGACTTCAGCAAGTGCAAACCAGATGAAGCAGTGCTGATATTAACACGGCAGAGAAAAGGCTTAGGAAGTTGGCTTTCTTTATTTTTTTTAATTTTTGCCGTGCTAGAGATCAAACCTAGATCCTTGCACTTGTTAGACAAGCACTGTGCCACTGAGCTGCATTGCTGGTCCCTAAAGCTTGGCTGTTTTAAATTCTCAGAGGCAGTTATACATGCTGACTCATGAGTCAGAATATCACATCTCTTTACGAAATACCCTCCAGGGGCCAGGGAGATAGCTCAGTAAGATCCTGAGTTCAATCCCTGGTACTGCAAAAAAAAAAAAAAAAAAAAGAAAGGAAAAAAAAAGAAATACCTTCCTAGCCTGTGTGTGGTGCCTAGTGTTGGGCAGATGACTAGATGTTATAAATGACTTTCCGCTAACCTTTTATCTTTTTTTTCTTACACGTGAAGATTCAGGGCAAGTTGACAAAAATCAAAGAAGACCTTGGGAAGCACTTGAAGTACCTGCAAGTGGATAAAGACTATGTGAAAGCCCTGCCCACCCAGGGCATGAGCACAACGGCGGTCCTAGAGAAGCTCAAGGACTACAGTGCCACTGGTAGGATGCTTGGGGCGGACATACTTCTGCACCTCAGCATGGTAGCTTCTGTCATCCTTTGATATTTTCTTTTCTTTCTTTTTTGCTATATTTTTAGGGAAGGGCCTACAGGGTCTTCAGGGTCTCACTACTAGATCGGACTTGTAGTGATTTTCCTGTTTATGGTCTCCCAAGTATTGGGATTATAGGCGCGTGCCACCATGCCCAGTCTCAATCACTGCCTCAATGTGCCCTGGGGGTGGGTCCAGCACAGCAGGCCCAGGCATCGAACCTCTGGCCCCTGTGCCTGCTTGCAGGTGCTTTAATCCACTGAGCTATTTGGCCAGCTCTCAGGCCTAATGTTCAGTAGTATAACCCCTGGGGTCAGCCTGGCTTCACATTCTGTTTTTGCTGCTTAAAAAGAGTTATTTACCTTCTGTGTATCCCATTTTTTTCTATCTCTGTATTCTCTCTTCCTTCGAAGGATAATTAATAGGATTAAATGAAATCATAGGGCTGGGGATGTGGCTTAGTGGTAGAGCTCTTGCCTTGCATGCACAAGGCCCTGGGTTCCATCCCCAGCACTACCACCCCCCGAGAAAAAAATCAGATGAAGTCATATGTGGAAATGTATAGTACCTGGCATGTATTGGATGGTACTCAGTATTTAATAAATGTTAAGTATTGTTGTTATTAATATAAGCAGATACATAATTTTTAGGTTTAAGATCATATTATAAGTATGTTTTAAAAAATAAGCTTTTTAGGCCGGGGAGATAGCTCTGTGGCCTAAGTGCCTGCCTGGCAAGCACAAGGACCTGGGTTCAATCTCTGGTACCACATGCTGTGTAGGCCCCACATGGAGCCAGCCACCAAAACCAGATGTGGTGGCGCACTCCTGGAATCTCAGTGCTGGCAAGGCTGAGACAGGAGGATCACTATGAGGCCAAACTGCATAGCGAGATCCTGTACCAAATACATACATGCATAATAAAAATAATTAAACTTTTTAGTTTGACATAATTTTAGATTTATAGAAAAGAAACAAAGATGATAGAGATTACTGTGTGCCCTTCACTCATCTGACATTAACAACTTGCTAGCCATGGTACCTTTATTAAAACTAAACTATAAGTTCTGTTTAATCAGTTTTTCTACAGATACTCTTTTGTTCTATTCTAATATCCAACCAAGGATATACACCAGAGTGTATTTTGACAGACAAAATTTCTAATGAATATGTGTTGAAGAAAGAGTGGAAGGCAAACTGGTAGCAAGCTGGCACTGGCTTTTGCTGGAGATGGCTGTGAGAACAGGAGATGGTTGTGTACCTGCTGCTCAGCTTTCTGGTGTCTTGCCAAACTGAAGAAGATTTTTGCCTTAGGGCCCTGCCTACTGTATTTGCATTTTCAGTTCCTGTTTCTGTGGTGGCTTTCTCACTGTCCACTTTCAGTAGGGGACAGCCATGTTGCAGCAGAGAGACCCAAGACACCCACTTAAACAGATTTATTGGTGTAAAGTAGACTCTGTGTGTAGGACCACTGGAGAAGGCACGTGGAAACTGTCCCTGTGTTCTGGCCAGGAGCGTTTCTCAGCTTTTTCTCAGGGCTGCCTGACAGCCAGACTTTAAGCACTAGGACATATCCTACTGGTCATGGCGGCTGCTTCTGTGTGGGGTTCCAGGCTTGGAAGAAGGAAGGGCCCTGAGACTGGCGTGAGCGTGGTTCTTCCTGCGTCATGGCCTGTGCCCTGGCTCCAGCTCTGAGGCTTGAGTACTGAAATGCCACCCATTCCTCTCAACTCTGCCCACAGTAGTTCCCATGCTTCCTGTGACTGGATGGAAAGGCACAGAAGGAAAAGGTCACTTTAAAGCCATGTAGGGAACAGAAAGTAAGTGTAGGCAAAAGATAGCTGTTCTGTGGGGAGAAGGCTGCCGAGGTGTGGCCATTATCATTGCTGGACTGCTGTGGTTGCACCTCAGGGCTGCCAGTGTTGTTTCACACTGTTGCTGACACTCATTGACAGTCTTTTATCGTATGGCAGTAGACTTCTATTGAGATCCTTTCTTGATTTCATGTAAGAGCGACCTGGGGCTTCCACTCAGCTTCTTTTCTTCTGTGCCCAAGGGGTTTCTTCATATCTCCTCTGTATCACAATGTAACTGTCTTCCCTGCTGACTGAGTGCCCCTGGCTTTCTCTACAGATGGCAGCTGGCAAGAAGGGAAGGCCTCAGGAGCCGTGTACAGCGGGGAGGAGAAGCTCACAGAGCTGTTCGTACAGGTGAGCGCTGGGGCGTGAGGGATGCGTGTGGCACTTTCCCAGTGGACTTACTACCCTGGTCCCCTTCCTTCTGTCATCGAAACACCTTACTTAAGAAAAAGCTTATTGTTGAATAAAACCATAGAGCTTCAAAAAGGCTCTCTTCATCCTGACACGAGTACATAAGAATGGTCTTGTCACAGCCATTTTCAGTCTGGTAAAAAGTCAGGTACTGCACGTCTAGGCTTTCTGGAGGCCTCATTGAAAAGACATTACCAGGGAAGGTAGTCTGTCATTTGAGATTTTTTAAAAATATTTTTAGTACAGAGTCTACAGAGTCTCACTACACAGATCGAACCTGCAGTGATCCTTCCTGTTTTCAACCTCCCAAGCGCTGGAATTACAGGCGCACACCCCCATGCCCAGTCTCAATCGCCATCTCAGCGCACCCCAGGGTCAGGACTGGCCCAGCAGAACAGGGATCGAACCGCGGCCCCTGCGTCTGCCTAAGCAGGCGCTTTAATCTACTGAGCTATCTGGCCAGCCCTTTGAGATTTGTAATGGTAGGACTGATTGCATTTGGTAAGAAAAGACAAGATAGAAGCGGTAGTAATTTCCTCATGTCACACGACCTGAGAGATCATTCTCTTTGTTGTCTACTTTAGAACAGTCTATAGCTTCCTTTATTTCTGATCTAATGAAATTTGTGTGTGTGTGTGTGTGTGTGTGTGTGTGTGTGTGTGTGAGAGAGAGAGGAGATAGGAGGATTGAATCCAGTGTATTGCATGCTAGACAAGTGTTTTAAGCCCTAAACAGATTTATTTTTGAAGCCCAATTCATCCTGTGCAGTTGGGGTTGGACTGATGATCTCTAAGGCCTTTGTGTTAATTATGAAGTTCTGTACACCTTCGTTAGTCTATAAGTTACTTCTGTGTTTAAAGTCTTAAAGCACAGCTCGTGGTATGGCGGGAACGCGAATTCCTTCAGGAGTCAGCTCCCCCATGTTTAAGCTCGTTACCACCTGCATGAGCACTTAGCTCCCGTCTTTCTTTCTGCGGTGCCACGCTCCATCTGGCTGCCTTCCTTTCTCGTTTGTCCCGTTCCTCCTGTTCATCTCTCGAGTTCCACTTGATGGACCCTTTCTAGAACAGGCGGCACGATGTGCTCTCTCCCCCTCAGGAGCTCCCAGTGCTCTGCACAGAGATCCAGGCTTGCTCTCGATAGTGGTAGCAGCTTTGCGTCAGGCACTCTAATCAGTGTTTTGAATACAGTGTGTTTATTCCTAGAGCTCTGTAGGGTAGGTTGCATGATTATCCCTCTCTGTGTACGAGGAAACTGAGCTGCAGAGCATTATTTGATGTACACAGCTAAAAACAGTAGGCAAAGATCTGTCTGCTTTTAACTGTATTTGTACTTCTTCCTTTATCACATTGTAAAATAGTTTACTTGCATGTCTGTCTGGAGGCCTACTATTTGTTATTATTTATTGATACAGGGTCTCACTGTGCAGCTCAGACTTGTAGTGATCCTCTTGTTTTAGCCTCCCCAATGCTGGGGATTACAGGCATGCGCCACCATGCCTGGTCCTGGGGCTGGCCTGCATTGGTATCAGGGATTGAACTTGCCAGGCAGGTGCTTAGACTGCTGAGCTATCTCACTGGTCCAATTGGATGTCTGTCTCATCCACTATATTTCAGTTTTCTTTAAAATGAAGAACATGTATCTTGAAACTTAAAAAATGATACCTTTTTTTTTTTTGAGATAGAGTCTTGCTCTGTAGTCGAGCCTGCCTTGAACTCCAGCAGTCCTCCTGCCTCTGTCTCCTGAGTGCTGGGATTGGTGTTGTGCGCTGCCATGCCTGGCCCAGTCTTTGTCCTAAGTGCTGTGAGTGTAGCCTTACCTCATGTCCTCTTGCATCCCTTCACAGGCTTATGGAACTTTTGCATGGAGTAACCCACTGCATCCAGATATCTTCCCAGGACTACGTAAATTAGAGGCAGAAATTGTGAGGATGGCTTGTTCTCTGTTCAATGGGGGACCGGATTCTTGTGGATGTGTAAGTATATGGAAATAGCATCAAATAATCTTACTTTATAAGCTTAAAATGGAAGGGTTTATACTTTACAGGTTGGGGATTAAGTCAGTGGTAGAGTGCTTCCCTGGCATGCCCAAGGCCCTGGATTCAGTCCCAGTTTTCTTATAAAAAAAAACTGGCTGAAGTGGCTCATGCCTGTCTTTAATCCCAGCTTCACTGGAGAATGAGTAGGAGGATTTCAAATTTGAGGTCAGGTTGGGCAACTTAAAGATCACCTGTTTCAAAAATGTCTAGGGATGTGCGTAAGAGCTTTCTGGGTTCCGTCTCCAATGCTGCAAGTAATTGTATAATTATTGTAGAACGATCTAGATTGAGTGTGATTTAAAAACTTAAAACTTTTATAAAGTCAGTATGTTTATTTTCAGCAGTATTTTGTTCCTTGTGGTTCCTGATATAAAGCTTATTAGTCTTGCTTTGGTTCCGATTGCCACTTTATATTTTTAGATCTGAATCTTGTTTTGTTGTTTCATTGTTCAGTCTTTGAATTCTTGTTTCCTTAAAAATCTTAAAATTTTCTAAGTGAAAAACAGCTTTGAGGAATTTCCTCTGTCCTCAGCTTGCATCCTTCTCGGGTGGCTTTTCCCTGACCATTGCGCCCACTGTCTTTCCCTCTTCTTTTGTCTCTTGTGCAGCTACTGCTTTCTGTGTGCTGACCCATCCTGGGCTGGCTCTCCCTGTACAGTCTGTCTGTTGTGACGCATGGTGAGTGACTGCTTGTCTGCTACCATTCGATGAGACCATTCGATGAGAGGCAGGGTATAGCTAAAGCTTTGCTCGGACTGTGTTAGAATTTCTGAGTCTGCTCTTCTGAATTAAAGTTTCTTCTGCCCAGTCAAAATAGAATAATACAACCTGAACTCTGGCCCCTCTTGTATTCCTGGTTGTCACTCAGAGGGACAGGTCCAGGGTCTTCCCCTCTTGCTGATTTTCCTTAGCAGCCATTTCTCCACTCACTAATGAAAAGAGGAAGACAAGGAAACGCTTTCAGTTTCCTTTTCTAAAGATTTTGGGGGCCTGTTAATGAGCATTCTCAGGACTTTTCTGAATGTGTTTTACTTGTCATACTTTTCTTGGGAATGCTTCTGCCACTTATGTTCATTACTGTGTCTCTTTGCTTTTTTGTTTTCTTTTCCTTTTGTTTTTTCTCTTTCTCTCTTCTTCCTTCCTTTTTGTTTTTGACTCTTCCTCCCTCCCTCTGTCCCTTTTTCTCTTCTTCCCTCCCTGTCTTTCTCTCTTCCTTCTTTATTTTCCCCTCAGTATTAGGGATTGAATCCAGGGCTTTGTGCATGCTAGGCAGCTGCATTCCCAGCCTGTCCCCTCCCTCTCTCCCTTTCTGCCTTCCTGTTTATTGAGACACGATCTTGTTAACTTGCCTCGGCTCTCCTTAAACTTGAAATCCTTATGCCTCAGCCTCCCAGGTAGCTGGGATCCTAGGTTCGTACCACTGAGCCTGACTTGCTCACGCCTTCTTCCCTCCCTCTCCCTCCCTCCCTTCCCCTCTACCCTCTTGTCCTATTGTCCCCTTCTCCTCTCTTCCCCCCACTTCTCTTTCCTTTCCTTGATTTCCCATATTTGAAATTTATTGCATTAGATTCTCTGTTTCTTTATTTGCAGGTTGTTATTGCAGGCTTTGAGTCTTTCTGCTCCCTTAGTTTTTATTTGTGTATTTATGTGTTTAGTATAAGGTCTCACTATACAGATCGCACTTCTAGTGATCCTTCCTGTTTTTTCAGGCCCCCAAGCTCTGGGATCAATGTGTTCACCACCACGCTTAGTCTCAATTGGTCTCAGTGTACCTTGGGGTCAGGGCAGACTGGGGATCGAGCCCCCTGCCCCTACCTAGTCTGCCTAAGAAGGAGCTTTAATCCACTGAGCTATCTGGCCAGCCCTGCCCCCTTAGTTTTTATCCATTCTCAGCTCTTAAGGAAAGGAAGCTGAAGGAGTTTCAGTGTTCCCTCTTCATGTGGAAACCCAGCCCTAGAGGCTTTTTGAGTTGCCTTTCGTAGTTCAGCCATGTTTCTGCCATCGTGGCTTTCCTAATGACTGTGGCAGGGATCAGGAAAGGCTAGAGTCTGACTCCTCGTCTCTTAATATTTAGACTTCCATAAGAGAACTAATTAGTCCTGGTATTACTTGAGTCTCTCTCTCCCTTTTTGTGTGTGTCTTTCTCTCCTGTTTTGTTCCTTTAGGATCTATTTCAAATTCTGTCTCTCTGAAGCTACCTTTGGTGAGGACAGAGTTCAGCATTCAGAGGTAGGATGGGAAAAGACTAGACTGTTGCTGACAAAGGATCTTATTAAATATTTCTCATATCAACTATCTTTCCTGCTGTTAACTTCATTTGCCTCAGTTACAGTGGATGGGAGGCAACAATGTATTAAAAGAAACTAGTTTTTTTAATGTGGATCGTTCTTGGCTTCTGCAAATGCCAGCATTCATGAAGTTGATGCAGGAGGGCTGCTGCGAGTTTGAGCCCAGCTGGGCTATAAAGTGAGTTCAAGGCCAGCCTGAACTGCATAGCAAGGCCATGTCTCAAAAAAAAGACACAAAAGGAAGAACAAGAAGAACTCAAGCAACATGACAAGTAGTTAATGAATGTCTCAGTTCCTCTTCTCTCATTGCTGGGACAAAGTACTTGGTAGCCAGAATTAAGGGTGGAAAGGTTTATTTAGCTCATAGCTTGTGGAGGTTTCAGTCCATACTCAGCTGGCTCCAAAACAGAGTGGCACATGGCTGAGGGCAGCCATTCAGGGCAGTGCGAGATGACAGCAAAAGGGGGGAGTAGCGGCACCAATGGATATAGAGAGCAAGCCTGTCTAACTTACGCTGCATCTAGGCTGTCCGCCCAGGCTGGGTGCAGCACTCACACCCATAGTCCCACTCGATCATGAGTTAATCACACACTCTAGAAGTCTGCCCCATGACTGCATGAGGCTTTGGGGGACGACTACACAAACCGTAACAGTGAAGATGTGATTTTTCTTTTCACAGTTTCTGCGTTTCTTTGGGTATAAGGAGTAGTGAGAAGTGGAAGAGTTAACAGCATTTTTAAACACAAAATTTAGGGATCAAAATTTAAAATTAGCAGTAGAATTTATGTATTCCTGCCTTTATAATCAAAGTACAGGGGTGCTGGGAACTTAACTCTGTGGCACAGGCGCCTACTTGGCAAGCACAGGGACCTGAATTCATTCCTCAGTTCCAAAAGAAAAAGTATAGTGGTGTTTGTGCAGTGTAAAAATGATGTTGATATGGTCAATTATTGGCCTAGAAGTAGGGAATAGGGTGCAGGAATGGAGTGGGCAGCCAGGGATTGGGAAATACTTCCTCTCAGGTCATTCCCAGCCCTGGTAAGAGATTGCTGAGCCGAAGCCTTGGCTTTGTGGGTGCTTTGGGGCTGTTTTCACAGCTGGCTGGGCTCCTCTTGTGACATCCTGAGGCCTTAGGCTAGACCACAGGCCACGCTGATTGCAGTGCTAAGCACTTGTTTTTCCCAACACAGAAGTGCAGAGACCTACAAACAAGTTCTGTTGTGGGTGAAGGTCACCTGCTTCTGACAACTTCCTGAGTCAAAACTTGTCTTGCAATAAATTATGGAAAAATAAATAAAATGTAAAAAAAAAAAAAAACTTGACTTTTCTGAGTAATCTGCCATGTAACTCTTGGCCACTGTGATTCAGCGATACTTTTGTCCTGTATTTGAGGAAAGTTTAATAATCACTGTATCATTCCATCTTATTTTATGCCTCACTAAATATCCAAACATAAAATGTTCTACTTTTTATCACTAGATATTAATAGGTGGCGGTGAAGAATTGCTTAGACACTTGTTTTTCTCATTTCTGTAAAGAAAAACCTAATATTATTTGAATCTTTGGAAATTCTAAATTTAAAAGGATGTCTTATTAACTCAATGCTGATAACCTTTTGTTTGCTTTGGGATTAATTCATTCTCAGATGTTATCAAAAAGCTATGGCAGCTTGTGCTGGTCATGGTTTGCTGATGAAGTCAGAAGGCAAGAAGTGTGGACTGTGGGTCTTTTAGCTGTCAGCTACTAGACTGAGCACTAGGATTATTGTCCGAAACAGATCAGCCTCTGCCTCTGTGATTATTGTGCAGGGAGGGAAATAGGGTGACTGAAAAGACTTTTGTGTCTTTGTTTGAACTCTGGCCAAGATATCTGTATTAGAAATGTTTGTAAAACTAGGCCTACCTTGGAAAAACTTTTACTTCATTTAAAAAATCAAGATTTTTGTTTAGTTTGCAGATAGATGAAGTAACCAACTCTTCTAGGTAGAAACTTCTTTATCTGATGTTTTATACAATTTGTTAGAATTGTTACTTCACAACTTCACATTCTTTGACCTGGGCTGAACTTTTAAAACGAAACCTTGTCTGGGATTGTAGCTCAATAGCTCAGCATGCCCCAGCCCTGGAAAAAAGAAACAAAACTCTGTTACCCTTGAGTGGTATAAAATGCCATGTCATAACTGAACATTGGTGAGTATGAAAATGTACATGGACTGTGAACAGATTGGATCCGAGCAAATGAGCATCTGTCTAGACAGTGCCTGTTCATTCTTCTGTAGTTTTCATTATTCTTTTGAATTAAGATGGCTTGGTGACAAAGCCAAGATTTCCTTCTGGAAGATAGAGCAGTGTCTGCCCTGCAGCACACATCCAAGTCCTCATTTCTCTCTGGTTCGCACGCTGGCAAGATCAAGGCAGGGCATCCATGCCGACATCTGTCCCTAACTGCCCACTATAGTTGGCATCTCTTCTTTATTTTAGATGACCTCTGGGGGGACAGAAAGCATCCTGATGGCCTGCAAAGCTTACCGGGACCTGGCGCTAGACAAGGGGATCAAAACTCCAGAAATGTATGTCGGACTGTTTCCCACTTCAGGGTTCTCCATTTGGGGTGCTGCTGTGTGGGACTAGGCCTAGAGATGTTTCCTGGGTCTTTTTTTCCTCCGCAGTTCTTGTCTTTCCCCCTGGCCTAGTCCTTCTACCCTCTTTTTTTTTTTTTTTTTTTGTACCAGGGAGAACTCAGGACCTTGTGCTTGTATCTCACCAGCATTTTTAAGTGTTTGTTTGTTTATTTTGGTCTGTTTGAGGCAGAGTCTCCTTATACAGTTGAGGCTGCCTTTGAGCTCAGTTTGTAGCCCACTGTCAGCTCAAACAGGCAACCACCTCCCAGTGCTGAGATTCTAGGCATGCACTACCACTCCCGGCTCTTTCAACCCTTCTTAACCTTTTACTTGGGCAGCTTTCTAAGTGGATAAGCCAGTTATCCCCATGGGTCATTTCCATCCTGTGAGTTTATATACTACAAAGCAGAAATGAGATTCTTTTTCCAAAAGTGACAGAGTTAAAGGACTATGTTTGTATCCTGTGATCTCTTCTTTGAGCCATCTCCTGGGTCTTGCTTTGTAGCCCAGGCTGGCCTTGAACTCATGATGATCCTCCTGCTCAGCTTCCTGACTTCTGAGATTACAGGTGTGCATTACCATGCCTGGCTTGTGATTTTTTAAAAATTATTGTAAGTTATCTGGAGCCTAAGGGAAACTATGGTTATTTTTATTTCAGTGTATTTCTTAATTAAATACTGCATTGGAATTTTCCCTGGAAAATTTCAGCCTGAGGTCTGACATTTTAAATTTAAAAATTTTAAAAGTGGGAAAATTTTAAAAATACCAAGAGTGCTACCTCTGGGCATCTTCTCCTGTGCAGTGTGCTTATGCTACACCTTTTGGGTTAATGTTTTTCTACAGCAGTCAGTGACTAAAGGGAATTTTTTTTTTAAGGAGCTGCTCATGGCCTCAGGGTGACTCTCATACTTAGTGTATAAGAAGTAATCATTCTACCACTCTTGTTTCATTTGTATATGTTTGGTGCTTAGAATTTTACAGTTTTTTTCTCTTAAAAGGAACACAGTAATGAGAAGGGTGGAATGATTGAGGGAAGTGTGAAAGCAGCTATGTACCTGTGGTGCTGTTTCCTCTTTCTGCACTATTTGAAATACTGTTTCCACATGTGTAGGAGAAAGCAGGATTTTAGTCTCACAGACTGGTGATCTTCCAGAGTTGGAGGGGCCCGCTGACTGACGCCTGACTGCTGCAGGGCCTTCCCTGCCACGCCGGCCCCCACCCCATTCCCGCTGGAGCAGGCGTTGTGTGAGTGAGCGTGCGCTGCTGGGATCTGTTCCTGTCCCTGGGCCGTGTGCTGTCGGCCATTTATGCTTTGGAGCCCTCCACACTGAGACACACTTCAGAGCTCTTGTGCTTGTGACCAGAGCGATTTCCTAGGTAGCGAGGAGAAGATTTCTACAAGAAGTTAGCTGGTCTTTTTTGGTTTACAGTTAGAAAAGAAAATGATGATAACGCAATTATTTGAGGAAAAATAATCAAAAGTTTACTCCTACAGGCTGCCAACTCTATACTTTGTTGAGTCCACTTTTTTTTTTCCTTTTTTTCCTGTGTGTGTGTGTGTGTGTGTGTGTGTGTGTGGCCAGCTCAGCCCATCAGGGGGCAGGGCTGGCTGGCATGTGGTGCTGGGGGATTGAACCGCGGTCCCTGTGCTTTGCTAAGCTTGTTTTAAGTAGGTGCTTTAGACCACTGAGCCATCTCACTAGCCCTGTTGAGTCCACTTTTGGTCTTAGTTCATTATTCTCTTCTTCCCTGTCATCTAGAGTGGCTCCTGTAAGTGCCCATGCTGCGTTTGACAAAGCAGCCAGTTATTTTGGGATGAGGATGGTCCGGGTCCCTCTGAACAAGATGATGGAGGTGGATGTGCGGGTAGGTCCTCTGGAGATGAAATGTGGGTTACATGTGGGTGCCTCCACTGGCATAGAATGTAGTGGCCAGGTCATGTGGCCCCTGACTTGGGATGTTAGAGATCTGTTTTTTAATTTCAATGCCATCACTTTTGTATAAAATGAGCATTAATGAACTTGTTTTAAAACTCAGCTGGTTTTGATTAACCTGCATTAATATTGTCCTCATAATAGTGAATGTTTTTATGTTTCACGTTTGTGCAGAAGAACTTCATGGTGTTAGAGTATTACCAGAATTACATTTAAACCTTCAGGCAGTCATGGAGGCTGTCAGCCTGTTCGCTCTGTGTCTCCCAGGGGAGGTCAAGCCACTCACTCAGCGTCTCAGGGCTAGCAGGCTGGGGCCCATGTTCGGTTCTTGGGTTGCTTAGCTCTGCACTGCCCCCACACACACTGGCTGTATTGCTCCTACTTTACACTCAGTTTCCACAAATGAGCCTGCCTAGGGCGTCTGTGCCCTGCCCGCTGGTGGAGGCAGTGTTCTCCTCGGCTGCTGTGATAAAGGTGGCACTAGTGGACACAGAACTCTTAAGTTAGTGGCCCCGACTGCTCTCAAGCAGCAGAAGAGAAGAAATGTGACCGAGGCTCTCACTCTTGCCCTTGAACTTAAATCCCTAGGCCATGCGAAGAGCTATCTCCAGGAACACCGCCATGCTCGTCTGCTCTGCACCTCAGTTTCCTCACGGTGTGATCGACCCCATCCCAGAAGTGGCCAAGGTGATGAGAGAATTGGGCCTCTGGAAGGCAGAATGAGATTTTAAGATAGCCTAGTGGTGCAGTGCTTGCCAAGTAGAAGCAATTAGGGTAAGCCCTGCAACTCTGTGTAGAGCCTTTGAAAGTCACTCGCTTCTGCTTTGGGAGAGGGTTAATCTGAACCCAAGGCTTGTCTTTTAAGTGGATATTCTGAAATGGTTTTGAGTTTTAGATTCAGGTTAGGAAGTACTGTGCATTTAGGAGTGCGGCATCCGCAGGGGCCCCGCAGCACCTACCCTCAACCCTGACAGGCACTCGCAGGACCTTTCTCTCCTGCCTGCATCAGTTCCACTCACTTTCTGCCAGATAGCATGGGGAATTTGAGGTCATGCACATTTAAATAAACTAGATATCACAATATGGATGGATTATTTTGAAGGCTAAATACAATTGAAAGATAAACTTTCTTAGGAATATCCACAATAGCCAGTTTTTAAACATGAAAGTTATAGTACAGAATGGATAGCATGTCTGCCCATGTCCTGCAAAGTTTTTATTACAGGGCTGTTAAGTGAAATTGAATTGTGTTCTTTGTGTTTTGAAACTAGCTGGCCGTCAAATACAGAATACCTCTTCATGTAGATGCTTGTCTGGGGGGTTTCCTCATCGTCTTTATGGAGAAAGCAGGATATCCACTGGAGAAGCCTTTCGACTTCCGGGTACCAGGTGTGACCAGCATTTCAGCGGATACTCATAAGGTGAGTTAAGGGGGAGACCAAAGTCCTGACAGTTGGGTGTGTTAACTGTTGCCCACAAAATAAGTTGGCTAAAGCATTACCTCTATTTCACCCAAGGTATGAAATCTGGCCTTTTTTCTCCCACCTCATTAGCTGTTCAGATGATGGGATGTAGTGGTAAAAGTAAAAAGTGGTAGTGAAAAGGAGGCTCTTGGTCTTGTTGGCTGCGAAAAATCTCCCTGCCGTGCTGACAATGTTCACCTGGCATCTGCCAGCCTCAGGTCTTTATAACAAGGTCTTCTAAAACCTGAGCTTGCTGGAGGTGGCCAGGGAGAAGGTGAGGGCTGATCTTGGAATTCAGAGAGCAGCTCCTAGTACCACCACTTCTCTGCTGCTGGGGCCCCTGCACTTGAGAGGAGTCCCTGCACTTGAAAGAAAGGACCTGTGCTGTGTTTGAAATGTCTGCCTGCCACCCTCATTGGACTGAAGACTAGATCAGTTGGAAGCTCTTGAAAATATATCCAAATGAAGAAGTAGTACTAGGAGCTCCAGGATTGTGTGCCTTGTTTTATTTTGGGGATACTGGGCATTGAACACTGGTCCTTTGCATCGACCTGTTTTTCATTTTGTGACAGGATCTCACTCAGTTGCTTAGACTGGGTTTGAATTTGTGTGCTCTTGCCCCAGCCTCTCAGTGCTGGGGTTGTAGGCATGCTTTACCATGCTTGCCTGTGTGCACCTTGTTTGAATGTACTTTTAGAATTTCTTTTAAGCTAGAGCAAAGATTTTAAAAAAAAAAAAAAAAAACTGCAATAAATGATCTGCAATAAATTTTTGTTGAGAATGTGTTTTGCCTTCCCACCCAGACAGTTCCTATGCCCCTTTAACCAGCCATGTCCATGTGGGTCTAGAGATGAAATTATAGTGCCTTGTTAGCTTCAGTTAGCGTTGATGAGGAGGGCCCATTTTCTATGAGGAAACAACTTGCACAGTCTGTCTTCAGTTTGGGTTAAGGTGGTTTTGGGTTCTGACCACCATTGTAGTCTGACAAAGATGTGTAACATTGAGGGGCTGGTGAGATGGCTCAGTGGTCTAAAGCACCTACTTAGAACAAGCTTAGCAAAGCACAGGGACCACGGTTCAATCCTCCAGCACCACATGCCAGCCAGCCCCGCCCCCTGGGGCTGGCTGAGCTGGCCACACACACACACACACACACACAATTAAAAAAAAAAAAAAAAAAGATGTGTAACATTGAGCAGAAAAGATTAGACTATGATGTTAGCTGTTCCAGGTGGCGTGGGTTCCATTCTTGCCAAACTTTCAGTAGAAATTCTTTTTGTTTCTACCCTGAGAAAGATTTTAAATAAGGAAAGCCTTACATTGGGTAAGAGAGGAAGGAAGCTGCGGACTGAGCAAGGGCCTCAGACGCCTTATCCATGACAGAGAATCTGAACTCCCTTAAGTTCCTTCTGCTCTTGATCACTGGCTTGAGCCCTTAATGAGAGTGGGAAAACTCACCAAGATCTAATGAATATGTGGTGTGCTCTGGGCCAGGGCTGCCAGGTACAGCCACACTCACCTGTCTGCTTCTCTCCCAGTATGGCTACGCCCCCAAGGGCTCCTCAGTGGTGTTGTACAGTGACAAGAAGTTCCGGAAGTACCAGTTCTTCATTAGCACAGATTGGCCGGGTGGCATCTACGCCTCCCCAAGCATTGCAGGCTCACGGCCTGGTGGCATCATTGCAGCTTGTTGGGCCACCTTGATGCACTTTGGTGAGAATGGCTATGTTGAAGCTACCAGACAGATCATCAAAACTGCTCGTTTCCTCAGATCTGAGTATGTATGGAAGATGGCGGTTGTGCTTTTGCTCTTGCTTTTTCCAATTTCAAGGCAGCTGCTTGGCCACGTGCCATAGCCCTATCCTATTTGCTATCTCCTGCGAGACCAAGGGTTTAGGACAGTGGCTTAGGAGTTAGTGGAGGCAGGAGGAGAAGGTTCCCTTCTTTGCAAGGGACTCAGGAGCTGGGTAGACGGGTAGAAGCCTGTGGTTTTGATTCCTTGGGACTAGTTAGGGTTTGGGCCACCAGGTATTCCTAATGTCTCCATGTTTCTGGTCTGCATAAGAACTGTGATCCTGGCCCACCCTTCCTAGTGTAGAAGATGAGAAGACTAAAACCTCAGAAGGCTAGATTGGTTATAAGAATGACTTCAGATGATTAGAGATGTTGACATAGGAACACAGTGTGGCTGAATTTCCTGTTTCTGTGTTTTCAGACTGGAAAATATCAAAGGCATCTTTATTTTCGGGAATCCTCAGGTGTCAGTCATTTCTCTGGGCTCCCATGACTTTGATATCTACCGGCTGTCTAACATGATGACTGCTAAGGGATGGAGCTTGAACCAGCTGCAGTTCCCACCCAGGTATGCTTGAAGGACCCCTCTTGCTCTGTCCGTGGCTTTTGCAGAGCTCGGCGAGCAAGGTAGCGCAGTGCACAGAGTTTACCTGGTAGAACCCAGCTCTTTGGTAGCAACTATATTTGTAGGATTTCTCTCTTGCCGCCTGGGATAATTAGATGTGAACCGCGAGGTGCCTGCCTCCTGAGAAAGTGCTTATTTCTGCTGTTTTTTCCCTGTTCTCTATCTTCTGTAACTCTCCAATCTATCTTGTACACAGCCATCAAATTGCTCACATAAGGTACTTATTACCTGGGTAATATTTATTTCAGAACCCTCAGGAAGACGCCTGAGGCTTCAGGCCTTCTACTGGGTTTTTCTCCTTTTCTAACTGAATCTTCTAAGGTGCCTTTAGATCCTGCACTCCAGCAGAGTGGGCCAGTTCAGCGTCTTTTATTTACCAGATTACTTTTTCGTAGGTTGCTGCTATTGCCAGCCCATCTGCACTTTCCCATTCCCTCTTCTCAATCCTCTATATTCCCTCTTCTCTCCAGGGTGAGTTTGTTTCTTCACTGCCCTCAAGGCCCTGGCCAGCTGTATAGTCCTCCTGTCCCCAGAGGGCTTATCATCTAAGATAAAAGCATCCTGTTGGTGGTCACATGGTTGAAGCAATTGTGATTGGCAGTTGTAAGGGGTGGGACAAAAAACCAGCTGTGTTTATTCTCTTAGGATGGCTCCTGATCTTGCTGAGAGGCCCTGATACCAGCCTGTGTGCTTGGCAAAACCGAGTACAGTATTGGAAGAACTCTGATTCCAAGAACTGGAACAGTAGAAATACTCTGAAGAGGCAGCCAGTAAATTGGGGAATGCTTTATTTTTAAAATACTTTTTCTGTTTTCAAATGTCATCTCTCTTTGTTCTTCCCTAGTATTCATATCTGCATCACATTAGTACATACGCGGAAGCGAGTAGCAACCCAGTTCTTAAAGGACATCCAGGAATCTGTCACCCAGATCATGAAGAATTGTAAAGCAAAAGTCACAGGAATGGTAAAGACACTTGGAGAACCTCCATCCCCTTGAAAATTTTGGTGTTGATGTGGGAATTTGAAAGACTCAGGCTGTTCTTGCCTGAGCCCCATCATCTGCAGACCCCTTTTCTTGTTAGTTTACTGTTGCCAGTGACCCCTGCTTCGTGCATTCCTGGGGCTGGCAAGCATGTCAGATGAGGTCTGCTACTTGTGAAGTATGTTGTGAATTTGAAACTGCTATACAAAAGTAGGTGGTAGTGTCCATTTGTAAAGAAATTTGTAGGCTAGGGAGATAGCTCAGCAGCTTAAGTGCCTGCCTGGCAATGCAAGGTCCTGAGTTTGATCTCTAGTACCAAAAAAAAAAAAAAAAAAGATGTTTTTGACATAGAAAAAACTAAATTTTTTTGGGGACTTTTCCCCCAGCAACTTAGATAGAATAATTCCTTTATATAGAAAGGCGGACTGGAAAGTACCTATGAAAATTGCTACTGGGGCTGGGGAGATGGCTCAGTAGAATAAGTGCTTGCCTGGCAAGCTCAAGGGCTTAAGTTCAATCCCCAGTTCTGCAAAAAAAAAAAAGAAAGAAAGAAAACTCTGCTACTGTCAGCCGTCTTTCTAACAAAGTAAGCCTGGGAGGGTCAGTGGGCAGGGGGTGTTGCACTTAGAAAGCTGGGACTTGGGGGACATGGGATTATAACCACAGCTGAATCCTTGTTCCTGTACTCGTCATCACTAATGTCTCCTTGATTGGCTTTGTAGGGTGCCATCTATGGCATGTCCCAGGGGATTGTTGACAGGGACCTGGTTGCGGAAATCTCCTCGGTCTACTTGGACAGCTTGTACAGTACGGACGCTGTAACCCAAGGCAGCCAGATGAATGGTTCTCCAAAACCCCGCTGAGCTTGGGCTTCTTCTAGTTCCAGAGGACTCCCGGCCTTCAAAAGGTTCTCTGGGTGTGGAATAGGCCACCCACAACTTTGACACCTGGTCTTGCTCCATAGAGCACAAAGTTAGGCCATGAGAGAGTTCCAGCCTCAGGATTCCTGTTCCTCCTTTTATTACTTTCTGTGGTTTTAAATTTGAAGACCTTGAAGGATTTCATTGTATAATGAACCTACCCTTATTATAAAGGTAATGGTAGGAATTGTTTTAACCATTTTCCTAACTTCTCTAGTACTTTCTTCCACTTAATCATTGTGTGGTGGCTCTGACCTGGGGGGAAGCTGTAAGAACACCAAGGATCTGTTATCTAGGCATAGGCTTTAGCTGGCCAGGTGGGAGATATTGATGGAACAGCGCCCCTCATGGGTGTTGGGTGCATTCTAGGTGCTTAGTGTAGGTCATTTGTCTCTGCCGGAGTCGCTTTCACTGCAGCTTGCTGTTTTCCAGGGCGCAGGTTGGCCACATTGTGCCCTGTGCTGTGGGGGAGCAGGTCTGCTCTCTTGGCAGCCTGTGGCAGGGTTTGCAGTGCTCCACTGGTCCTCCTCCAAGCTTACAGGCCTGTTCGTTGCTCAGTTGCCCCTGTTTTTGGAGATGCTTATTTGAGATCATGCTATATTACCTTGTGTAGAATAGGATGAGAACATGGTTGTGAGAGGATCTAGGACTTTTGGGCTGTGGTACTGCCCCCTTGGTTGCACGGTGGTGAGAGCACAGCTGGCCCTCCCTCTCCTGTCCTTCCCATGAGTGACACCAGATCCTTGTCTGTACTTCCTGAATGTCACCATAGGTGAGCATCTAGTTTCAATGCTGTGTCACCAGAGTTGGTGGCAGCCCTCTGCATCCTATTGCCTTAAGTCACATGATGAGTATGCTCACTGAAGGAAGAGCTCGGAGCACCTCCACCAGTTGCCTTCACTTACCCAGGTGGGTACGAAAAGAGTGGGAGAACATTCCCCTCTGTCTGTGTGCTCTTCCTGCCTATTTCCCTTTGCTCAGCTTCCAAAGGTACTTCGGCAGTTTGCCCTCAGGTACAAGACACTCCTCAGCGCTAGCTAAAAGGCAGCAATGTGGGATTAGATGACCATTTGGGAACTGGGTATTATGGTGGTGAGCAGACACCATGGCCCTGGGCTTGGGATTCCTGTGAAAGACTGGCTGCTCGGGGTGGTGCGGGGACAGCACAAAATCCTGCACCCACTTCCTATTGTCCTCTGTGTTTCTGGGGAACCTGATCTAGGCTGAGCTACTGTCCTGCTTTAGTGACATACCATGTGCCTTTCACCTAACAGTGAGCTCTTCCTGATCTGGCCTCGGAGGTGGACCAGAGTCGGGGGTTTCTGTGTAGGTTGGAGAGAACTTAGAACAAGTGAGGAGGAACTTTGCTCCGCTCCCTTCCCCTTCTCAGGGACTCCTGAATATACAGCCTCTGCAGGTGCTGTCTTCTGGCCCGCACTGGGAATGCAGGCTGGGAGAGCCTCGGCCACTGGGCTTTCCCTCAGGGCCACGTCCCTGCAGGGTGCGTGTGGTACGTGTACACGTGTGCATCCCTCCTGTGTTTCCTGTGGTGTGTTGTGGGGTCTAGGATGGTTGCTGTATGTGTGTGTCAGGGAAAGGCGAGACCTTTAGGACACAGGAATAAGGCTTCCTTCAGTTACTGGACTGGCAGGTGCCTCCCTGAGAGAGAATCTGCCTTCTAAGCTGTGAAAAACTCGTCTCTGGTCTCCAGTGCTTCGTGTTGGGGGCGGCCTAGAGGCCTAGCGCCTCAGCAGGTACTACTGTGGCTGCCAGCGGCTGAAGGGGAGGCCTGTGCCTACAGTCTCTGCAGAACCAGAGCCCGAGCCGCTTGTTTCCTCTGTGCTGTGACCGGATCAGTGCTGGGGACTGATGGTGTTTTAAAAGGGACCTACTACAGCCACTTTTATTTCTGATTAAGAGCCTTGGTTTGATTTAACTCCTTTGTAGGCTTTTCATTTTGTATGTATGTGTGTGTGAAAGCACAAAATGCCAGTTCTAGGGCCGGGACGATAGCTCAGTAGAATAAACACTTGCCTGGCAAGCGTAAGGGCCTGAGTTCAATCCCTGGTTCTGCAAAAAAAAAAAAAAAAAAAAAAAAAAAATGCCTGTTCTGTGGCAGATAGGTAAGGTGTCTGATGGTATCATGTTGCTCGCAGATGTCCCATTTTATACTTGGAAAATGGTACTTGCCTCTTCTAAGTCTTTTCTCTAACCTCCCTGTCTGCATGTTCTTTTCCTAATTGCAGCAATAATCTTTTAAAAAACAATTAAATAATTAAATGCCCTAAACTGTATTCGCTGTGGATGATTGTATTCATTTACTCAGGCGATGAGAGATCGCTCCCTGCTGGGGAAATCGTGTGTGGCCATGATGCCAGGGCCCAGAAACCTGCGCCATCTGCAATCCAGCTAATCTCCAAGCGTGCTAGGAGGAAGCTGACCAGTCTCTGTCCACCAGAAGTGGTCATTGTGGCTGGCTAGGGTCAGACCGAAGTTCAGGGCCTTTGTTCCCCAGAACAAGAGCCCTGTCTTCTATTTTCTGCCATCCTCTGCCTTAACTTACTGATGGATGACGCTGTCTCGGTGGTCTCCACCAGCCTGGCACGTGGCCCTGTCTGACCAAAGGACACTGACTTCAAGCCTAGTATTTGGGTGGGGCCGGGTAGCACTCCTTAGAGGATCTTCACATGTTAACTGCTAGGTATTTTGTTTTATTCTGAGCAAGAGAGCAGAGGCTCCCACACAGGTAGGATTTGAGAGCTGTCAGGCAGGTAACCATCTTTCTGTTCTGGCTTTCAGCCCTTTCAGGGTTTGCCAGAAAGAAGGGAAGGAATGACATCTTTGCTGTGCTTTCTGCACAGCCTGAGAGAGAGAGAGAGAGAGAGAGAGAGAGAGAGAGAGAGAGAGAGAGAGAGAGAGAGAGAGAGAGAGAGAGAGAGAGAGAGAGAGAGAGGCCAGTTCGTGTTTGTACTGGAGGGCTGGGCTGACCTGACCACCCTGGGGTTGCTGGTTTGCCTCTGCCTTGTCTATGAACTTTTAGCGCCACTGGAAGCATTCATCTTGACAGAAGTAACGACCGACACCTGCTCTAGCCCCGGTGGGCAGAAGCCAGCCCTGGATGCTTGATTTGAAGCCTGATCGACCTTCATTCCACTTAGGCTTTTGTCCCTGTGATAATGTCTGCTTTACATCCTCCCCAGTAATTACAGTTATTTCAATTAATTTTATTTGTTATTTTTTAAAAAATATATTTAGTACAGGGTCTCACTACACAGATAGGACTCATAGTGATTCTCCTGTTTTTCAGCCTCCCAAGCACTAGTATTACACATGTGAACCACCATGCCCAGTCACAATTGCTGTCTCAGTGAGTCTCAGGGATGGGGCTGGCACAGCACGCCGGGGATCAAACCCTGGTCGCTGAGCCTGCCTAAGCAGGCATTTTAGTCTGCTGAGCTATCTAGCCCTGGATTAATTTTAGAATAGGCTATTTATTTTTGAAAAGTGTTGCAGATGGCTTTGTCCCTCCTAAAAGTCTCATACATGCCAATTTTCAGTTCTTGATCCATGTTAGGCAGCAAAGGCAGAAAGGCAGCGTGTCATAGTCCTTACCCCCATGCCTGGCATATTCTGTAATCCTCAGTTCTGTTTATTTATTTTTGTATTTTAGGGAAGGGTCTACAGGGTGTTCAGGGTCTCACTACTAGATCGGATGCATAGTGATCCGCCTGTTTACAGCCTCCCAAGGGCTGGGATTACAGGCACACCACCACGCCCAGTCTCAGTTGCTCTCTAAGTGCACCCCAGGGGCGGGGCCAGCACAGCAGGCCCTGGGATTGAACCCTGGACCCTTGTATCTGCTGGCAGGTGCTTTAGTTCATTGAATTATTTGGCCGGCCCCTCAATTTTTAGATCTAAGCGTGCTTAGAACAATTTAGTTAGAAGTGGAGCAGATAAGAGAGCACTATCTTAAGTCTTGTTGGCGTTGATGTTAAGCTCTTTGTAGCAGTAGAGAAATTGTTACCAGTGTAAATTTTTATGGACCAGGCTAGGGTCCTGCCAAAACTTGACAGTATGCTTATTTCTCAACCATCAACCTCTGCTGCATTTTTTTTTTTTTTTTTTTTTTTCTGCTTCTTTTTTAAGGCCCTGAGGGATCCTTCTTTTTTTGGCCCAGCTGGCTGAGTTGTGGCCTTGCAAGGTACCTGCTCCAGGTGAATGTGCCATTGCAGGTCACCTCAGTGCCCACGCGGGGCTTCAGGCTGAGGGCTGCTGGTGAGACTGCTGGGAGGAGAGCTTCCAGTCCGCCCCACTCATGGGGGTGAGGCACATGTGGGGTCAAGCTGCAGTTCGCTCTGCTCCCCCCGCAGTCGCAGTACTTCTCTGGGAGGAAGGCTTCTGTCCCACAGCTGCTGGTTGGGGACAAGCTGTGCAGACCTGTGTGTGACTGTTAGGAGGGCGTGAAGCCCTCCAGCCCCTGCCTGTATGGCTGTCCTCCAGAGCAAAAGCAGGTGAGCCCAACATTTGATAGGATTCTGAGAACTGCAGACAGCATCAGGATTAGAAATCTTCCCCTTTGAGGTTTAGGCCAGTACATTAGGGTTTTTTAGAGAAACAGCCAGTACATATGGTGAGGAAGAGGGGCTTGTTCTACCTATCTGCACTAGGCGAGCTGGAGACCCAGGATGGTGTAGTTCCAGTCTAGAGGCCTGCAGCCTGCAGACCCATGAAGTACAGGCATCTTAATTTGAATCTGAAGGCTAGAAGAAACTGACAGCCTAGCTCGGGCAGTCTGGCAGTGGTGTGCTGTTTGAGGGCCCACCAGCCCTTTTGTTCTATACAGGCCTTCAGCTGATTGGATGAGGCCCACTGACATTAGGGAGGGCAGTCTGCTTCATTAGGTACCAATTCAGATGTTAATCTCATCCAGAAATACCCACACTGACACAACCAGAAAAATGTTCGACCAGATGTCTAGACACCCACAGCCCAGTCAGGTCGACATGATTATAACTGCACTAGGTATGGTGTTGAATGTAATCCCAGCACTTGGGAGGCTGAGGCAGGAGGATCACTGCAAGTTTGAGGCCAGCCTGGGCTACATAGCGAGTTTAAGGCCAACTTGACATAGGTCCTGTCTCAAAAAATAACTGTTGGGCTAGCCAGATAGCTCAGTAGACTAAAGTGCCTGCCAAGGCAGAGCACAGCAATGGGGGTTTGATCCCCAGTGTGCCATGC